TTACGCTGATATGATTAGCATATTTTCATCTGACACTGTAACTCCCAGGACTATGAATATTTTACGCTGATATAATTAGCATATTTTCATTTGACACTAACTCCCATAAGTATGAATACCCCCAGGAACAATAAAGAGCAAACAGAGTTATCAAAAGTAGTTAACTTTAAAAAAGTTAATATCTGAAAAATAAAACTCGCTAACTTTCAGTTAAAACTATACTTGTTTTCATAGTTAGATCAAACCAATTATAATACACACAAAAGAATAATAAATGCTAATTTTAAAACCTCAACTGCATATAATTATATACACTGTATTTACATTTTGTCAAGGTATAGAATACATACTTTAGGCTTACGTACACATAGATATGTCTGTATATAAACTAATGAAATAAGATGAAAGTTTTATTAAATCCAATTTTGGTTTTCTCTCGTGGAGAGTATTTTTTATCATATATTTCATATTTCTGTAGTAAGAGTGTTTTAACAAGATTTTGTTTATAATTCAAGATGTTATAGTAAATTGTGTCTCCAATTTGCATCTAAATGTTTGGAGAATTGGTGGGGCAAGTTTAGAGCCAGTTGATACCTCTAAGTGAAAATGTTTTATTCTTAAATGTATGCGACTTCTTCTTTAGAGGCTTTTTTTAGGTAAATGTATATGAGTGTGGTACTTTGATTTTATTGCAACGTTATTTGTACAGATGCTTGTGCAAAGTGGTTGTAGTCCTTTTTGGTCTCCATAACTCTGTGTTGGCTAACCTCTTCGCAATGGCAAAGGTGAGAAAGAAAAAGAGAACCAAGAGGCTATGTAGACTGTAATCGAATCATGGATGTAGAACTAGTCTTAGAATCTCTCACGAGGACGCCTATAACAACACTGTCTATGTAAATAGTTCATTAATTTGTTGTTAAGCACAAAAATATACAATATACAATCTGTGTTATCCCCACCGTGGGTATCGAAACCCGACTTTTAGTGTATTAATTCCTTAGACAACGGGAGGGGGGCAGTATGAGCAAAATGTGACTTGTTGACATTCAAAACTTCTATATGTGATTCATAAACGTAGTTCGGTCCTGTTTTTATTGAGTTTCGTTATAATTTTCGTTTTCCAGTTTCTCGACTCTCTTGTTTTGTAGTTCAGTTTTAACGTTCTTCTTTATGTTTTTTATAACTTTTTATTTTGTATTTTTCATATTTATAATTCATAAATTATTGATTTTCATGCACATAATCTCATTCAACCATAGGTCCTGAGCTTTTTCTATTGTCCATCAAATTATTTTAACAGCAGCTGTGAACATGTTGTTGAGAACTTTAAAAATTATTGGCTCAGAACAATAGATATAAGTGAAATAATTTTATTTATTAGGAGCCACTTTTATTCCACTGAATATACTGTGTAGTAGATAATATTAAATATTATTTCAAGTTTTATTTTTAAGGTTAATTTAGCCATTAAAACTTTAAAATAACTAAACGTTTCGGGATATTCACTTTTAGTAATTAAACATTTCGAAGTTTATAAACAATGAGACGTAATGGGTTTGGATTTATTGTATTAGAACTGTAAGTTTTATTATTTATTTGTACAACATTTTAATAACATGACCGATTTCAGAACAAACAAAGTTATTATTTTCAAACTACGAGTCTTTAAGTTGTTGTTTTTTTAAGAATATTTTTTTATATTACCGTTGGCTTCTCTCCAAATAAAATTATTATTTCATAACAGAAACATTTTCGCATTATTTATAACAGCATTGCTGACTGTTGGCCTACTAGAAATATTTATTGATTTAGAACTCTGTGTTATAATGTGAAGAATTTATCCACTTATCTCTATAGAACAGCTCAGAATCCCAAATCCTCTATATCCCTTATGGTATAAACAGTAAAGAAAAATCGTTTTTTTGAAAACGCAAGCGATACACAAAGAAGATGTATTGGAATATAATCTCACCATCTATATCCTGTTATTTATTCAGCTCGTTGGTCAGTGCTGGTAATCTTTATAAATTATTAAAAGGTTAAGCGATCTTTGTGATTTTAGAAACGATTGATCACAATCCAAGAATAAACACCGTGCATGAGCTGGGAATAATTCATTTCTACGTTTTTTGTAGAAAAGATGGCAGGATGTGTAAGATAAACAAAACTGACCATATACAAAAATCTTACTGAATACACGTTTGAAGCCGACATATTCACTGAGAAGAAACTTATTTTCAAATTTACGACTTTCTTCATTCACAAACAAATATTTTATTCTTATTACCCGAATGACTCTCAACACGAAGAAACAATCATTATCACGAGAAAAATACAACACTATCAAGTTTATGGTTTCAGCGTTTGAACACTAGTCATTCAACCAATGAAAATATAAGGTAAAAAAACTGTAACGTAAAGGTTTAATTAGTTTGAATTAGTCATATAACCAGTCATTATATAAAGTAAATAAATCTGTAACAATAATGTTTGAGCATTTTGAGCTCTAGTCATACAAACAATCGCCGTATAAAGAACTCTGTAATATTAATGTTTGAGTATATTGAGCTCTAGTCATGCAACCAATGACTAGACAAAAAGATAAAAATAAAATTTTAGCATTAATGTTTAGGAAACATGGACTAGCCACACAATCAGTCATTGTGGATTTTTAGAGCTACGTAATGTAAAGAAATTTGCAACATTAATGTTTGAGTATTTTGAGCTCTATTCATACAACCAATCTCTATAAAAAGGAAATTGTAACAATAATGTTTGCAGATCTTGAGCTCTGGTTAAGTTTGTTTTGAAAGGAAGGATTGTTCTCTATTCTAAGAACTTTTAGATCGGAATTAGTAATATTTAGTTCTGCTTCCACCACTTCTGAAACTAGTTTAACTAGGTTGTGTGAGGGAGTAACTTAATTTCCTTCTTACTTCCTGGTTTTTAGTTTTCTCTCTAAAGTAGTTTCATTGGTTTCTATGATTTAAATTTCTGTAGTGATTATATTTATGGTTGGAATATCTTATTTGTCTGTACGAAGGATCCTAACTAGGATTCGTATTAATGGATTCTTCAGAGTTATATTCCTCAGCATTGTTTTTTTTTCATGTTCTTTTGTTTTATTTTCCAAATGCTTTCACTATTTTCTCCATTCCTTTTACAATCTGGCTTCCGATTTGAATTTTTCGTATGTGTTTTTTGTCATGGTTTTAATGTTATTTAGCAATTTATTACCAATATTAGCGGTTTCATTCTCATAATGAAAGCCCATTGATTCAAATGCTTTAATTTCCACTCTCATTTCTGATCCAAGTCTTATTTATTTTTCTACTTACGTATTTGAAGTGTTTTCTTATTCTTGAAATATTTTTGGTTATTACTGGTGGTTTTTTCAAGAGATTGTTTTTATAAATCTTAGCTAAATTATTAGATTAAAAGAACTCCATTAGTTCATGTTCCTTTACTTATTATTTCCTTTAACTCATTCTTTGCTTGAAGTGGATGCATGTTGTTTATCACATTATTTTCTTTGTCTTGAGGATAATCTAAATTTAAATTAATTTGCAATTTTCTCATTAAGTTTAGAGGCAACTTCGAAAACCTTTGAAAACAAATATCCAGAGCTGAATCAATTTTTTCTTTTACACTAGTTTAAGGTACACGTTAGATTTTTCTAATGATTTTATCCGTGACTTTTTATATATTTGACAAAAACTTCACGAATGTTTCATTAAATTTATCTAAAAGTTCATCATAAGCAAAAAAATTGGCCGTAACTGAATAATATCTCACGAGATTCGAACATCTAATGAGATTTAGATTAGTCCTAAATACATATGCTAAACTAATAATACACAACAATCTTTATAATGAAAGTATATTACTAAAACATGTTCAGACTGTTACTAAAAATGCAACTAGATATATTAAACATTCCAACGAATACTATTAAAGAATGGAATTCAAATACAAAATATAAAGCATCTTATCATCGAATATCTTGCGATAGCTGCATCCTCTGGAAACTACGTCACAACGCTAATCAGTAACACAGCAACACGTGGATAACCAATCAAGTCGTTCTTCACTCGATCTAGTAATTACGCGCTTATTAATACAACATCCTTCGTTATGGAAAAAGCTGAGTTTAATAAACTTTTTCCACTTACTTTTCGGTTATTTCGTTTAATCCCTTTTCTATACAACGTTCAATAATCAATTCATTGAGTTTTTAAAACTAATGTTCAAACTGTTAATAAATAAAGTTAACTCTTCTGTAAATACGATAAACCTCGTGAAAGTTCAGTAGCAATAATAAGACTTCGAAAGGAAACTTACAATAATCTTAAATATGGTGACGAAATAACGAGTAACAAATAATGTAATTTAAGCAACAATTGTCTGTTTGTGATTCACTGTCTTTATAATGAATCTTATACAACTCGCAGTCTTATTTATCTTGAATGGGGCAAATCTTTCATAATGTTATTAATAATGAATAAGCAATACTCACTCTTCATAATTTTTTATATTAAAGTATAAGCGAGGCACACTTCTCAGAACCCCTTGTTTGTTTTATCGAATTCGTAATGTATATTTTGTACATATTAGCATATTCTTTATGCAAACTTCTCAGAAGTTGTTGTTTATAGTAACACTTAATGAACACTCCTCAGAAGTTGTTTATAATAACAAGTAATGCATACTCCTCAGAAGTTGTTGTTTATAACCATATGTAAGGGAGTCATACTGTACAGGTTGTATTTCTGATGTGTCGTGAAATCCAGTTTATTTGCTTGAAATGAATTAGTCGTATTAGTTGAAGTACCTAGATTTTTATCTGTATTTAAATGTAACAGAACGACAGTTATTAGATTACATTAACAGACTTTGCATGACGCCTTGGCAATAATATTATATGTTATATCACTGATAAAGAAATCTTTATTAATATCGATAAATCATCGTTTCTCTCTCTTATTTTCCATATCTTGCAGTTATACTGATTATCACAGGTGTTACCATATATCCAAACGGGTGGAGCACTAGAGAAGTTCGAGAAGCCTGTGGTGGCATTTCAGACTCCTATGATCCTGGTAAGTTTTTCCACTAACAAAAACGACGACACCTTTCAGTAGTCCTTGTTAGTTAAACTTTACCACAACCACACACACACATGTATATTACTAATAATACACATTATTGAAGATGTAGTTTTACTGGGAAGTGTTTGTATCACATATTTATCTGTATACAATATACACAGGTGCCATTTCCTTGTGGCTGAAACAACTTTTCGTAACAGCCTCTATTTCTTTCAAAGCTACAGCTGTGAGTCCAGCAATTTTTAATTCCATCAAAATCCACTGTAAGCAGCTTTTGGATACTCATTCACGTGATTTTCTTTTCACTTTCCTGTGACTCAGTTTTTCACTGTATTTTACAACATGGTTTATTGAAGAGTAAGTATTTGAAATAATTCAATTGATTTCGAACCTTACTTAGAAACAGTATTATTTTCTAGCGGTATTTAAATTATTTATCTTTTGTTAATGGCTTTGGTTGAAGTTTAAATTACTTTTACTGTATAAAATAAGTCAATGAAAAATGTTACCCTCGACTGACTTAAGTAAGTCTGTGATCTAATGACCCTTTCTGGAAAAGCACATCACTGAATTTCGTGACCTTTACTTTAAAAAGTGACTTGTGACAGCCTGAGGAAGTACACCAAATAATTATGTGAACCTGACACAAGGAAGATAATGAATTAATTATTTGACCATAACCTAAGAAAGTGTATTAGTGAATTAAATAACACGAATAAATTACATTAGTGAATAAAATTTCCTTAACCTGAACGATACATAAGTCAATTTATTAATTTTAAAAAAGTGGAATACATCAATCAAATAAGTGTACCCAAACTGAAGGAATAAATCAGCGAATTAAGTGACAGTTGTTTCATAAGGTGCATGAATGAATTAAGGGACGCTAAGCTGAAGAAGCACATAAATAAATAAAGTAATCTTCCTAAAGATAATATATCAATGAATTATCTGATCCATGCTAAAAGGCCCTCCAGTGGCACAACGGCAGGTCTGCGGACTTACACCGCTAGAAACCGGGTTTCGATACCTGTGGTGGGCAGAGCACAGATAGCCCATTGTGTAGCTTGTGCATCACTACAAAACAAAAAACAATCCATGCTTAAAGATAAGCATCATTGGAATAAATGGTTTTAATCTAAGTGAGTAAATTAGTGAAATAAATGACATAAATTTCAACGAAATATAACAGTCCGGGTTTGAGAAAGTATATCAGCTAAGGGCTAGTAGTTCTGGTTTGAAGATGTACTAAGGAAGGGTTAGTAGACCTGGTTTAACTAGGTATATCAAGGAAAGTCCAGTAGTTCTAGTTGGAGAATGTATATTAAGGAAGAGATGGCAGTTCTAGTTTGAGGGATCATATCAAGACTTGAGAAAGTATTTCAAGGAAGTATTAGTGGTCCTGGTTAAAGGATATATATCAGAAAACAGATTGTATTCTTGCTTCGAGAAAATATATCAAGGAACGCTTAGAGCTCCTCGTTTGCAAAATTATTAAAAAATAATTATTATACCTGGTTTGAAGTAGTGTTCGTCATCCTGGTTTACAGGTATATCAAAGAAGGGTTGGAAGACCTGGTTTCAGGAAGTATATCAAGGATTAGCTAGTAGAACTGGCTTGTGAAGGTAAATAAAAAAAACGGTTAATAATCCTGGTTTGAGACTATATCAAGAAAGGGGTAATGATTATGATAGTAGGTAAATAAAAAAAGGTTAACAATCCTGGTTTGAGACTATATCAAGAAACGGGTAATGGTTATGATAGTAGGTAAATAAAAAAACGGTTAATAATCCTGGTTTGAGACTATATCAAGAAACGGGTAATGGTTATGATAGTAGGTAAATAAAAAAACGGTTAATAATCCTGGTTTGAGACTATATCAAGAAACGGGTAATGGTTATGATAGTAGGTAAATAAAAAACGGTTAATAATCCTAGTTTGAGACTATATCAAGAAAAGGGTAATGGTTATGATAGTAGGTAAATATACAATACCGTGTAAAGTAATCTAAAATAAAGTTTCGATCCACTATTACGGAACAAAACTAAATTTATATGGATACAAGTTTCGACACTTTCATGAGTCCTCTTCAGTACAACGTTTGTTTGTGAGAGAAACACGGAAATTCCAAGTCCCTTAACGGCATATAACGTCAAAAAGAGGTTCAGGTTAAAGTGACCTTCAAAGGTGAAGTTTGGCAACCTTTGGATTATCGAACTTTCCGTAATTTTCTTTTGACATAATTTCTAGTTTTATATGTTGTTTTGACTAATTTCTAGCTTTATATGTTGTTTTGGCATAATTTCTAGTTTTATACGTTGTTTTGATATAATTTCTAGCTTTATATGTTGTTTTGACATAATTTCTAGTTTTATATGTTGTTTTGACTAATTTCTAGCTTTATATGTTGTTTTGGCATAATTTCTAGTTTTATGCGTTGTTTTGACAGAATTTCTAGCTTAAATGTTGTTTTGACATAATTTCTAGTTTTATATGTTGTTTTGACTAATTTCTAGCTTTATATGTTGTTTTGGCATAATTTCTAGTTTTATACGTTGTTTTGATATAATTTCTAGCTTTATATGTTGTTTTGACATAATTTCTAGTTTTATATGTTGTTTTGACTAATTTCTAGCTTTATATGTTGTTTTGGCATAATTTCTAGTTTTATGCGTTGTTTTGACATAATTTCTAGCTTTATATGTTGTTTTGACATAATTTCTAGTTTTATATGTTGTTTTGAGTAATTTCTAGCTTTATATGTTGTTTTGACATAATTTCTAGTTTTATACGTTGTTTTGACATAATTTCTAGTTTTATATGTTGTTTTGACTAATTTCTGGTTTTATATGTTGTTTTGAGTAATTTCTAGTTTTATACGTTGTTTTGACATAATTTCTAGTTTTATATGTTGTTTTAACATAATTTCTAGTTTTATATGTTGTTTTGACTAATTTCCATTTGATTTTATGATCAAGTTTCCTCATGTGTTAAAAAATGACATTATTTGTTTGACCATTTTAACATACTTTTTACGTCCTAATAGTTTGGTATCTAAATTTCTACCTGTTTCACCAAAATAAGCTTTTCCGGGATTGGTAGAGTACTATATAAGCAACCTGATCTTTATCTTGAAATGCAGGCTTATTCGAGGGTATGACATTTTTAACGGTGTTGGGATATTTATAAACACTTTGAAACTGTTATTTTTCACACACTTCTCCAAAGTCTCAATAGTAGAACTGTAGTTGACGCTAAGCATTTTATTTTTATTTTCACATGTATGTTAAGGATGGTTTGGTTTGAGAATATATGAAGGGCCAGTAGTTCTGGTTTGATGAAGCATATCAAGGAACGATTAACAGTCCCGGTTTGAGGATATATCAAGGAACAGTTAATAGTCCTGGTATGAGGACGTATCAATGAAGAGTTAATAGTTCTGGTTTGAAAAGATATATATAAGGAAAGGATTAGTAGTCACTTGTTAAGGATACATCAAGGAAGAGTTCTTAGTTTTAAGGGAAAGTTGAGGAAGGCTGATTTGAGGTATATCAAGGAAGAGGCTGATATTTATTTTCTTCTAAAGTTTTATTTTTTCTTAAATTTGTAGAAACAGTGATTAATGTTCACTGTTCGATGATAGACAGCCTTCACAGCAGGGTATATAAATCTATAATTCTTATGATACGTAATGTTCAGTTTGCTAGCTCCTTATTTAAATTAATTTTGAACATTACTTGGAAAATATTACAATGAAGCATAACATTAGTTGCAAAGAACAGCAAAGCACCATGTGTCTGTCTTTCACAATTCTAACGTTAATAGGCATGTTTACCAACCTTGAAGAAAAAGATATTATATACTAGGTGTACTTCCGCAAGGTCGACGAAAGTAATCTGTTTCAAGAGTAAATAAAACCGAAATTAAAAGTAACAAATATTTTTTATTTCTTGCTTTTGAAGTTCATATGTCATTCTGTGTTGTAGCCTAAAACATGCCTACAGCATGCGCAAGTGTTACTGACGTTACGACAGTACAAATTGCAACGTTAAGCGTCCCTTATGTGACGTCATTTTAGTGTTTACTGACTGACTGACAGACAACACACTATTGTACAATAGTGCGAGTGGCTAAAACAGGTGACCCCTCTAGGCGGTCTTCGGCCTCCTTTCGCGGAAATCAAGTGTGGTGCCGCTACAAGCATGTACAAATATATATGAACCCTTTATGCAAAATATTACATATATATATATATGGATTTTAATATGCCGATTTTCTATAGCTAAATTTGCCTTCAAAAACATGATTGTGAGTTGTTGTTTTTTCCATTTCAGGAACTTGTCATCTATCTTCATCTTTATATTTGTTGGGAACAGGCGGGATACTGCTAACCCTGTGCATACTTCTTTCATGTTGGGCTTCTCGGACTAACCAACATTCGTATCGAATATGACCAATGGATAGGAATATAGTTGATCTTTAAAAAACTCATCTGTATTCAACTATGTTTTATGAGATTTTATATATTTGTTCTTTAAGACATGGACATTATAAAGCTATATGACACAACAACATTCATGTTTTGGATTTAAACGATTTGTTAACCACAACTGATTTTAAAAACTATTAGTAAACTTATGTATAAAATGAACAAAAGTACAAGTGAGGACTATAAAAATGGAACAACAATAACAAATAAATGCAAATATTTCTCATAAGAAATATATTGTTTAAAAATAGTTCTA